CAAACGTTGCTCAGAATGGCAGCGAGTGTGTTCCCTGAACAGATGGATGGACCGTGTGATCAGCAGGGGTTACACGCTGCAGTTTCGCAGCTCAACCCCCACCGTTCAGAGGGATTATATAGACGGTCCTGTCTTCTCCAGAACAGAGCTCGCCTCTCCAGTCAGAAGTTCAGGAATTCCTGAGAAAAAACATGATTTCCAGAGTTTCCAACGCAGAGGAAAATACGGGGTCTTTTTTCCTCCCACTACTTCCTGGTTCTGAAAAAAAAACGGAGGGATGAGACCCATTCTCGACCTGTCCATGTTCAACAATTCAATCATGGAGAGACAATTCCACATGCTGACAATCAAACAGCTGCTGGAGAACTTCACCAGAACGACTGGTTCACCTCCATAGATCTGAAGGGCGCATAATTTCACATTTCCATCATTCTGAAACATAGGAAATTCCTTCGTTTTTCTCTTCCAGGGGATTCCATATCAGTACAACAGGCTACCGTTCGGTTATTCCTTTGCCCCACGCACGTTCTCAAAATGCGTGGAGACAGCTCTGCAGCCATTACACATGGCAGGAATGAGATTTCTTTTTTTATCTGGACGATCTGCTTTTATTAGATCCGTCCAGGCAGGAAGCAGCTGCGCAGACCAAACGCTAGTGTTACACATGCTAAACCAGGTTTTTCTTTAAACTGGGAAAAATTCCGTTTGCCCGTCCCAGATGATTGTTTATCTGGGAGTGGAGCTAAACTCAACCACAATGAGAGCCCTTTTATCACAGCCGAGAGCAGAAGCTCTGTAAATCCAGTTTTGCCGTGTCAAACCCAGCAGCATAGTGACAGTTCTGCCTGTCATGCAACTCCTGGGACGGTGTCAGCGGCCCACATCGTGGTTCCGCTGGGCCTACTTCACATGAGACACCTTCAGAGATGGTTCGCCCACCTGCACATAGATCCTGTGCGCCAGATGAGGCAGATTATCTTTGTGCCCCCCTCCGTGAGAACCGAGCTGGATCACTGGGGAAACCCCCTCGTTCTGTCAGAGGGAATTCCCATCTGCAGGCCTACGTCACATGTCTCAGTTTTTTCACAGACGCGTTCCTGTCAAGCTGGGAGGAATGTGTCTGTCCCAAGCAGTGGGAGCACAGTGGCTAGACCACATGTCGCTTTACATAATGGGCTAGAATGTTTTCATGGTCTGAAACGTGACTCAGCATTTTGCCCCTGCTGCAGGATCAGCATTTTCTGATCCACACAGACAACAAAGTGACGACAGTTTACATAAACCATTAGGGAGGTGTGCGTTCAGCCCCACTGTTACATATTGCGAAACAGCTGTTGTGTTGGGCACACAAAAACCTGCTCCCCATCAGTGCAGTGTACATTCCCAGCGTCCCGAACAGGCGAGCGGATATCATGTCGAGGGGCGGTCCCCGCCATAGAGACTAGAGCCTCCATCCCGAGCTGATCTCTCGGTTTTTTTGGAGCAGGTTTGGCCGAGCAGCAGTGGATTTGTTCGCCACACGGGAGAACTCCCAGTGTCAATTATGGTTTTCACTAAGCCCACGAGACGACCCACCATTAGGAGTGGACGCCTTCGCTCACAGCTCATGGCCAAAAATGCTCCTTTATGCGTTCCCTCCAGTCCTGCTGATATCACGGACCCTGAACCGGGTCCGGGAGGAAGAGCTGTCATTCATCCTCCTAGCTCCTGAGCGCATAAGCTCCCTGTGGTTCCCGAATCTGCAGCGACTGATATCGGGTCAGCCAAGGAAACTGCAATGGGGGGGGGGGGGGGCACTCTCCTCCAGGCAGGAAGAGTGATCAGGAGTTACCCAGAAATAGGTCAGCACCTTTAGGTCTGGCCGCTGAACGGATCCGTTTAGAAAAAGATGGGCCTCCCACAGGATGTGGTGCGTACGTTTTCAGGGCACACGAGCTGCTTCCACCACAACGATGTGCACATCAAGTAGACAGTTTTTCAACGCTGGTGCGCAGAGAAAGGCGTGGAGGCCATCTCATGTCCACTAGGTGGCATGCTGTCATTTCAACAGCAACTGATGGACAGAGATCTAGCGTTCAGCACAATTAAAACTTATGCTGCAGCTATTTCTTCCTGTCATGAGGTTTCTCAGTGACAGAACAGTTCTTAACCACCCGCTGATGAAGCGTTTTTCTGAAAGGTGTATGGAGACACAGACCTGTGTCACGTCCACTAGCTCCATGGTGGGACCTCATGGTCCTGCACGCTCTGATCAAAGCTCCTTTTGAGCCTTTAGATCAGGTTTCACTTAAATTTCTGTTATTAAAAACAGCCCTGCTGTTAGCTCTGACGTCGGCAAAGAGAGTGAGTGTTTGTTTGCTCTCTCTGTTGCTCCATCATGTCTCAGAAATCAAGCTGACGGCAGTTCAGCTGTACTGCGTTTTAACCCTGCTCTGAAAAGCATCACAAGCTCATTCAAATCAAGAGTGATAACCTTGGATGGGTTTTACCCTCCTCCTAATAATTCTGAAGAGGAAGCAATATCTCACCTCCTTCTGTTCCGTGGACGCTTTTTTAGTGTTACATGGCGCACGCGGCCGCACTGCGCCGTTCTCAGCGTCCGTTAGTGCATTACTGGGACAGCTCTTCAGGACACCGTCTATCCACCCAGCGCCTCTTACACTGGTTGTGTAAGGCTATTTCTGAAGCTTACAGTTCATCTGGACTGGACCCTCCAGAGAATCTCAGAGCACATTCCACCAGAAGGTTTTCATCGTCCATGGCTCTGCATGGAGGAATGACAGTAGAGGATATTTGTATGGCGGCTGCCTGGTCATCGCCATGTTCAATTATTCGTTTTATTTACGTGATGTTTCTACTTTCTCCATGACGCATTCTGTTCTCAGGGTTCTGACAGAATGATTATTATTTGTTTCATGGAGCTTCACTTTTGAGCTCACACCTGCCTGCATGCAGTCGCAGTGTGAGATATTTATTATCAGTCACAAGTTCATAACTGCTGATTTTATCGTTATTAATCAGTTCATCCTGAGGAGCTGTTGGTCTGCTCTGTTCATCGTTACACTGTTACAATTCATATCCTCCGTTGTTCCTATTCACAGCAGCAGGTCTGCTATCTCAGCCTCTTTTCCTCACCAGAGATCTTTTCTCCAGTGCGCTCCTGCGCATGGTGCACGCAATTATGCAGCGCGTAATTACGCACACAGAAGGCTGAGTGATGAAATTTTTTTTTGTGCAAGCAGGTGCTTCATATTGTGTCTGAGTGGACCCAGTGAGGCATAGACTACATCTTGCTTCGCCTTTAACCCACTAGCGATAGCCGTAACCCCAGATTCTGTGAGTATAGGCGCAGCCCTTTAAGCTCTGGGCCTCACTGGTTCCTAAATGGCTGAAGAAAAAAAACTATTTGGGGGCCGATTACCTGGTCTCACCATAATTTATACGGATCAGGGGTGAGGCCCACACACAGTATGTGGACGTGGACTATAAAGTTTTCAGTGCTGCGCTGCGCGCAAAGGGATAAACCCACTAGCCTTAAAGGGCTGCGCCTATACTCAGAATCTGGGGTTACAGTACGTAACCAACGTTTTTTGTTTGCATCATCTGGGTCCTTTATTTTTTCAGTTTTATTCAGCAGATGCTGCTGACTCAATGGTTTAGTACGTTATTATTTTTATTTTTAGTCTATAATCAAGTTGCATTTGATGTTTGCTTTGTTTAGTTTTCCTACTTGCTTACCATTTCCAATAACCCAAGTTATAGAAAAATGTATAAAGTAAGAATTGTATTGCACTGTATCTTTGTCTTGGTTAAACATGACATTATATTGAACTTTGACACGTGAAACTAGAATAACTCTCAGCTACTACAAAAAAGGTTAAATCGTGTCATCTGGACCAGTTTCTTCAAGTGAGAAATGTTTCGTCCCCCATCCAGAGGACTTCCTCAGTCTACAGCCTGCTAATAGTGTGAAGGCTAGCTATGGGACAGATCTGGTTGGTAGGCCATAGACTGAGGAAGTCCTCTGGATGGGGGACAAAACGTTAAAGAGACTGGTCCAGATAACATGATTTAACCTTTTTTCTTGTTATCGACCTGGACGATGGATCTTACAACCTTTTTTCTGAACCACGTTGGCCTTGGTTGTCCTCAGCCTATTTCTGTGAGTATCAAGTTGGCCATCTGGGCTAAAACTTTTGATTGTTGTACATGATGACTGACTGTTTTGCATGTGTTAAAAGCCTACTTTTAAGATTCCAACAGGAGGTTGGCTTGAAACACAGCAGTGAAGGCTACTTATGAGACAGATCTGGTTAGCAGGCTGTAGACAGAGGAAGTCCTCTGGATGGCGGGGTGAAATGTTTCTCACTTAAAGAAGCAGGTCCAGATGACACGAGTTAACCTTTTTTGTTGTTGTCTACCTGGACGATTGACCTTACAACCTTTTCTCAGCTACTACCACACCAAAACTTGTAACTAACTCTTATAGTCATTCTTGAGTTATATTCATTTTTTGTGTTAACCAAGATTAAATTAGCTGCGACAAGACACACACACAGACTATTACATTATTGCTCACCTTACACATTTTGGCTACTGGGAGTTAAAATAGAAATCTGACAATACTTTGCAAGTTTAACAAATATAAACTAATGTAAACAAGTTTAACTAAAAGCAATAACCAAAATAAATAAGTGTAAAATCCCAGTTGCTTGCATTACGCTGAATTAAGATGAATCGAACTGAAAAGCATTGCCTTCTGTCCTATAGGTGAATACATGTATCTAAAATGTGTCTGTTTAAGTGGCAGAAACCCTGATCTAAAGCCAGTGATATACAGTTTGTTTTTGTTTGTGTCTAAATTTACCCATGAATTTTCTTTGTTTCATACGTCCACACTCCCAAATTTATATCAAAAAGCTACTAACAAAAGTTGAATCAATGCCTCATTGATAAATGATCATTTATCGATCAGTTTTGCCATAAATTGATTTGCTCACCGAAATCGTGTCATCGTCCTCGCTGCCAGCAGCCAGCACCTCCAGTCTGTCTTGTCTGGCTTTTTCCTTCTTTAAGCGGTTTGCCTGCAAAGTGGCAAAGTAGTTCACTGCTGCGAATTCAACGAGAGCGAACGCCACAAAGGCAAAACACACAGCGATGAACCAATCCATGGCTGTGGCGTAGGCAACTTTGGGCAAAGACTGGCGGGCACTGATGCTCAAGGTGGTCATGGTCAGCACTGTGGTGATGCCTGAAGAAGAGGCAGGAGAGAATGTTTGATCGTCCCACTGATTAGCACACATTATGTGACTAACTAACTGGGAACTAGGACATACCAGCAACTGTGCGTGCAGGAACTGACTCTTTGTTGATCCAAAATGAGACTTGTGACAATACGACGACCATTATAAGAGGGATGTAGGTCTGGATGAGGTAGTAGCCAAGCTTCCTCTGCAGGTGGAAATGGACCACCTGCACAGAGTAGTGACCTGCAAGACAAACAGCATGCATGAAGATTGCAGCCCCAAGGGAAAGAGCAGGGTATTGTTTCTTGCCTGGCCTTGAAAGAGAATAAGTGCTGACAGAAACATACAGATGTTAACAAGAGCTTGGTAGGCTGCTAACTGTGAATAAGGATGGAGGGAATCAACGAGAAAAGAAGAGAAATGTGGCAGAGATAAAGGAGGAGGGAGGAAGAAAGTGGTGTAGAACGTGCTGCATTATGCACACTCACATTGAGAGGTTCTGTTTTTAATTTTATGCTTATTACCTGTTACTGAAATAACAGGTAGTGTTTCTCCCCCATGTGTCTGTCTGTTAGCAAAATATCTCATAAACCAGTGGACAATTTCTAATGAAATTCCTAGAAAGTAATCACTGGATGTACATCTATAACTCATTAACATTTGGAGAGAACCTAATTTAAGATTATTTCCACTGCTAATTGACGTTTGTAAAAAATGTTGGAACTTTTTTCCTGGTAGTAGCTGAGAGTCATTCCCAACACATACTCCGAGTGCTAACTGATCTGCATAGAATCTGGTGTTAGTACTTTGCCATTAACATATGAAGTCAACCCAGTTCAAGATGAAAACACAAAAGGAAGTATACCTCAGTAAATATGACAGATGTTTAGCTAGACTTTGGTACGGTAATAGCCAAGAGTCATCCCTAACACATACTTGAGCGCTGCACATTGGGAGAAATTTTTGTTCAAAACTTTGTCACAAAACTGTTTGGTTTTTAGCTAAATATTTGGGTTAACAGTGTGAAGGTGTTTCTCTATCTTGTCCGTCCTCCTTTCTGTCTGTGTATCCACTGGACTTTAAACCCTGCAGATGTTTCTTAAGGTACTTTGCACGCGTTACTGCTCACAGCTTAAACACCTTAGATGCTCCTTGCCCAGCCTACTTAAATAGATATCTAGTTGTGGGAGGGTCATGGACAGAAATACTGAACTGGAAGATCTTACTTAAACATTTAACATCTTGTAAAAGTTTTAATTAAACATCTTAATACTACTTCCTCAATCGGCTGAGGCGAGCTGTAGTGTGTAGTCAAGACCACCTAACCCGAGACTAAGACTGAGGGAGGGTGAGACCAAGACCTCAAATAAAATGAATAAAATATAAAATTTTATTATAAAATATTTTTATAAACGTTACTACATACTGTAACTTTAAGGTTGCTTTTGAATGAATATCAGCTTTTATAAATTTTCAAAGCTACATAACAAAGAAATCACATTCAGTGGCCTAAGTGCATGTGATTCAACAATAAAACTACACAACTGTTAAATTGGAAGCAGTTTCATCACATGCCAAGTCTTAAAAAACTAGTGTCCAAACACTCTTCATAAGTCTGAACTCAAGACCAAGGATAATATAGTTGCATTAGTTACAAGTATATTCTTTGTGATTTAAATAGCCAAATTTTATAACTGATGATTTGGCAGACATCTTCTCCTGCGCCCAGACAATCACTTCTCACTTTCTTGGAGTGACCAGTGTTGCCAAATAAAGTCGAAGTTTTTCAGACCAAAAATCTGTTAAAAACCGCCATATCAGACAAAAATCCACCCAATCAATATATTGTTATAGTATATTTACTGTTTGAACATGAATGCACATCAGTACAAACCAAGTTAATTTAACAATATGTGACAAAATGCAACAATCCAACAAAAATCTTCCCAGAGTTGCCAGCAAAATCTGAATGAAAACCGCCCAATTGGCAGTAAACCGCCCAATCTGGCAACACTGGGAGTGACGTGTGCGAGTGAAAGGGGGTGGGCGTGACAGTGGTAACAAAACATGTATTTAGCAATGAGTCATGTTATCGCTTGGATTTGAATCAGTACGTTTTGCATCCAATAAAAACAAAGATGTTAACAAATAAACTGGACAATATTCTGTCAATTTACTGATATTTCCACAGTTGTGGTCTTGAAATAAAATCCCGAGTCCTCAATGGTCGAGACCGAGACAAGACCGAGACCAAATGCGGTCGAGTCCGAGACAAGACCGAGACCATCAAAAAGTGGTCTTGAGACTGGTCTCAAGACCATGACCGGTCTCGAGTACCACAACACTAGCGAGCTGGACTGAGAAGCTCAGTCCTCACCTCCTTCTACAGGTGTGCAGTGGAGAGCATCCTGTGCTCCAGCATCAGTGTGTGGCATGGAGGCTGCACAGCTGCAGAAAGAAAAGCTTTGCAGAGAGTGGTGAAGGCTGCACAGAAGTCTGTTGGAATCAGTCTCCCCACCATCACAGACATCTACACCTCCAGATGCAGGAAGAGAGCCACCTGCATCATGAAGGACCCCACTCACCCAGCACACACACTTTTTGCCCCGCTCCCCTCAGGAAGGAGGTTAAGGAGCATTAAGTGTAGAACCACTAGACTGAGGAACAGCTTCTACCCTGAGGCTGTTAGACTCATAAATCCCTTACAGGAAAATCACTGTAAGAATAAAAAAGTCATTGTCATGCCACTTTCATTGGTGATGTGTGACTTTATCTGTGCTGCTGATTATTCTTGCTGCTGATCTCATGCCTTTATGATGCTGTATTCATACCCATCTGCTCACTACAGACTCATGTTCAGGCTGCTGTTTAATATCCATCCATCCATTATCTTTATCCGCTTATTCCATTTTGGGTCACGGGGGTCGCTGGTGCCCATGTCCAGCAATCACTGTGCGAGGGGCGGGGTACACCCTGGACGGGTCGCAAGTGCTGTTTAATATACCATATTATTTTACATTATTAGTGTTTAGCATATATCTTAGATGTTTTAGTGTATCGTTTAGCATAGATCCTTATATACTGTTTCTTTTTATACTTTATATTTTTGCTATTTTTGGGTGTAACTGGGACCTTGAGTACACAATTTTGTTCCACCTCATGTACCACGTGTGATGTGAATGACAATAAAGAACCTTGAAATTGAACTTAAAGGCTACGACTGTAATTGCACCCTTAGAAGAAGAGTATTTTTGTTGCTGAGAGGAAATGTTACCTGTGCTCGACTTCAGTGTCTCGCTGGACAAAGTCTGTCCCACAAGATCATACTGCAGAAGACTCATTGACTCTTTGGGGCACTCAACAGATGATTTTAGCCCTTTTCTCCAGGTGAAACGAATTTCACTGCTGGTGAATCCATCTAAAATCAAGAAAGCATCCAGACTAGAAACCATGAAATCTGATTGCGGCAGCAAGAAGACAATGTCTGGTTTGTTTTTGCGCAAATACTTACAACTTCCAAATCTGAGAGGACAGGAGTGGCCGTCCATGGGGAAATCCATGAGATTCATTGGACACTCTGCATTGATAGTTAGTCTAATTGCAAGACACACAAAAATAATCAGTTTTAGCAATGTTTTAAATTCAACCTAAACTTTAAAGAACACTTCAGATTACCTCATGGTGTAGAGGACTGTCCCATTCTGCATAATACGGAACAGTTTGTTGGGAGTGGTCATGTTGTGGGAAATTGACTTTTTGGAATTCCTGAAGAAAGTGTCCGGTGTCCAAATCTTCTCCACCATTTTGTTGTTCAGGCGTAAAATTTCAGTGGGACCATCAAATTTGAGCCTCTCGTCAACCCACATCTGACGGAAGAACATGTCCATGGTGTATTCCTGATGACAGAACAATAAACTTTTAGCTTCAGCTTGAAATGTGCATGTGTAACCCTAGAGAGACTTTTCCACATGTAGTCAAAGGTGAGGAGAGGTAATAACGGGTGCCACTCATCCAGTGAACTCATGAATCAATCCATTTGGCCATTCCCGCTGTCTGACATGCTGTCATATTGATTTAGAGGCCATCAGTATCAGAGTTACAGGGCTAGTCAGACAGATTAGAGCTCATTAGATTGACTCATGGCAGATCACCCATAAGGCTGGTCACTAAAACAATGTCATTCCTCACACTCAATATCATTGGCATATTTTATGAATTATAATATATGCCAATGAGGTTGACTGTGAGGAATGTCATTGTCATATAAAATGCTGCACCACATATTGGACCCATACTGGAAGAACAGTGTCCTTGTTGGTTGGTCCCATTACAAGTATTACTTCGCCTTTATTAAAATACAAAATGTTGTACAATTTTTTACTTTGCTGCTACATGTTCAAGTATTAATTTTCTAATACATTTTAGCTGTAATTTTTTTTTTTTTTCATGTTCAGAAGAAAGGTCACATAAGGTCACAAATGTTTGAGGGAGAGTAGGCGGGGTTTAAATGTTGCATGTGCCTAGTGAGCAGACTCTGGTTCCAAAAATACAGCGAGGTAGCTCCCATACACGAAGTGCTGCTGACTTTATTTCCCAACAAGAGAAGGTGAGGCAGTTTGATGGAGAATTAAAATTTATTTTGTCAATGGTCAACACGTAGATCTTATGGGAAGGCTATCCTACCATCTCAACATCTGAAACTGGTCCAAAGCTGGTGACAAAGATGTCTGTTTTCACTTCTGTAATTCCACCTGCAACAGATTGTAAAAATCCTCTCTTATTTATTGCACAAAAATAGTGTAGAAAAGTGAAAACGAACAACGCGCAATATACAACATATTGAACAAAGTTTGAGTTTAAATTACCTCCAGAACCAGGTCGTAATCTATTGTCATATTCATCCAAAAGTCTATCCAAAATGCGAGTGATATTGTCTGAGTCTATCTTTACACTTCCTTGTACATTACCTACACTGCAGGGAAACAAATACAAATCAAATTAACCAAGTGGCTTACTGTAAATTTGAACATGTTAAAATTCAGAGAGCAAACTCACCTAATCCAGCAGATTAAAGCAATCAAACTTAAAGAAGTAGCAGCCATGCTGGTAAGTGTCCACTTTTTCAGTTAAAATCTAAAAATATGTTAAATTTTAGAGTAAACAAAGCAGGTTTCCTTTTATGTGTTATTCCATTGACGGCGTCAAGAAACCAAAGACACCCAGGCAGGAGCTCTAATCTAATTAACAGATTAGCGAGTACCCTGTTTTTAGACAAACAGTGGATTGAATTCGTTTTAGTTGTGGCCATGCTGAGTTCTCAGAAGGAAAGGTAAAACTATGAAATAAATAATACGCATAAAATAATAAAAGAAGAATGCCCCCACATCTTAAAACTCTAAAACAAATGGTCTTTTTGTAGTTCCATTAATTGGACAGCAGGTGGCGCTGCTGTTACAATTAATACCTGAAGCCGGAAATGAACGGAGAAGAAGAAATGTAAGTTTTGATAGTCGATGGGAATGCTCGATTAATAGGAGTGGAGTGAATATTATCAGTAAAATAAGGCTGAGCGGTGTGAAGCCGCAACATGTCGGTACATTTTGAGGAGAGGAGCGGCGTGGTCCCGTGTAAGACCCCCTGGGGCTCCTGGTACCAGACCATGGAGGAGGTCTTCATCGAAGTCGACGTGCCCCAAGGAACGTCTGCTAAAGAGGTCAAATGTCATTTAGGACCAAGAGACATCGACCTGCGTGTCAAAGGAAAGGAGATATTTAAGGTAAGTGGCGCTTCTGCTCGTCTGTGTTAAATGTGAAAGCGAGATAATCCGTTACGATCCCCTGATAAATTATTGGCATTTTGAACAAATTTAAGTTTTGATAATTAAACACAAAAGGGTTTGATTTAACCTCTTGGCATCCACATATGCAAGAGTTCGGGTCTTAGGAGGTTAATAAACGTAAGTTGTTTGTAATGTGCACGAGACACACCTCCGTCCAACTAGGAATGTTTAATCTTTATGCGCATGCGCCAACAAATGAATAAACAAGACATTTCAGTTCTGCCTTTGACAATGAGAAAACTGAACAGATTTTACTTCATGTTTTTACCTAGAACAGTGATGCTTTGTTGTAAGAGAAAGTATCTGATTTTCCAACAGTCTTACAGAGTTTATCAGTATTTGTTTTTTTTTAACCAATAAACCTAATAGTTAAACACTCATTTATATTATTCACAGCCACCATGTAGTTATGCTTCGATGTTTTTGCTACCAGATGTGCTCAAAATTTAATGTGCAGTAGTAACCAAGAAATAAACAAGACTGATTTTCTAATTAACAATAATATCAGAACTGATTTTCATGTCTGAAACAACTAGTCCAGGTCTCATTGGTATTTGCACATACAATTATGTGATTTAAGCATCACCGGTACTTCATTTATAAACATCTGGACTACAATGTTGTGCTTTTCAGCTACACTTCTACTCGTGTTTCAAACTTTCTGAACCACTAAGACACATCACAAACATGTTTTCTAGGTCCTCCTCTAATTCATTCAGGTTTTGTCACGATCCCAGAAAAATAAACAAAAAAGACAAACCAAACATGGCCATTTTCATCATTTGATAGAAGTTGAAACTCATCAAGAAAACTATTTTCTCTGGTCCTAAAACATCTGCACCTGGGAACGTGGGTTGTAATAATGCATACATGGATATAAATTGCAGCAATATGTAACAAAAATGAAGATTGATACAAGTAATTCCATTTACTGAATCACATGAATTTTAAGTTTAATGCATCATGATGATCTTCTAATTTGAACCTCACAGATGTATTTTCAGCAGTTCTACAACTATGTATTATGTTGATGGAGACAAAGTATAATTTATCTTCCTTTTTGACTCCTGCCAGGGAAAGTTGTTTGACACAAGCGTGTCCGACGAGGCTACGTGGACGCTTGGTGAGTTAATAAAATGACTTCATTTGGACTTAAATGTACAAACTATCCAACTTCCTGTACTGACAAGATCTGTGTACTTTGTATATATTTTTCTTCTCTTCAGAGGATAAATGTCTCATTCGTATTGTTCTAATGAAGACCAACAGAGAAGCAGGGAACTGCTGGTCCTCCCTGCTGGAGGGGGAGTACTGCGCCAACGCATGGGTCCAGGACCAGATGCAAAGAAAACTCACTCTGGAGAGATTTCAACGAGAGGTTTGTTCCATCTGAGATGAATACAACTTTTAGTCGAGATGGTTTAGAGACCACTTACATCAAACTACACCAGTCACCTAGACTGGCTCCACATTTAAGTAAATAAACTTTTTACCTTACAAAGAGATTGAAAGTTGTGTCCACTTGCTTTAATGGTTTCTAAATAAATGTAGGCACTAGACATTGTGGGACTTCTGTGGAAAATCTCAGTTTTATCATTTTCCTCAAATTGTTTTAACCCAAAACTATTAATTGGACATTAATCTTTTTTTTTTTTTTTCATTTTGCACTTTCATTCAAAACTCTAGAAATTAACATCAGGTTTTTTTTTTTAAGAGGTTTCCCGGAAATGAACATTCTTGTCAATCTGTGGTTGATGGAAGCGTTGGGATTCTGAGAAATGCAAAAACAAGTCACTTGTTCCTTGTGTTCTGCTTAAATCTGTTTGAATATGAATTCTTAAACAATATTTTGTTTGCCTGTTTTTTGTTTTGTAGAACCCTGGATTTGACTTCAGTGGTGCAGAAATTTCTGGGAATTTTGCTGGCGGAGGTCCAGATTTTTCCAACTTAATGAAGTGACTTTTGCACTCATCTGGAAACTCAGTCCAATGATGTCATGACCCTCTACCAACAGAGCTGCCAATCCGCTAAGGGACGTACTGAGATTTTTTTCCAGATGTTTTTTTTTTCTGCCTCTGGATTTTCTCAGCCTCAAAAGGACACAGGAAGACTGAAGATCTGTCATGTTATTAAAAGCTGCAAAGATGTCGCCTTTTCTTATAAAAACAACAAAGTCATTTAGCTTTTCAATAGTTTTATTGAAAGGTGCAAGTACATCCATGGATCAGTGTATTCCTTTGACCGTTTTGTCTATGAAACAACCTACATGGGGAAACTGGAGGAGAAAACGCTGGACAAATTCCAACCAACATTTCCACAGCAGCCGTAACTTATTCAACTAAAACCAGTTCAATCGTGTGGTGGCACAACAGAATAAAGGTCCCGTGAAATTAACTACACTGTTGCCGATTTCAGGTCAAGTGATGTTTCAGCCACAGGTGACAAAATTGTCACTAGTTTCACATTGCTGGCTCAAACCAGAGCCTCCTTGCCGTTATCAAAATAAAAAGAAAAAAGTCACCTTGGGTAGGAGTGTGCATTCAGGACAGTTTAGCAACCTAGGGTGGGAGTTAAGGATCTTGGGCCCGATTTCTTGGTTCCATTTTTCCTATTCACAAAATCCTTCTCCCTCCTCTTCCACATGGTGGACTGAGGACCTAGGTGGTTCAATACATTATTAGCTTAAAACCAACAACCCATACCAGAAAATGGCCTGGTACGAATTTATAAATGAGAACATACTGTACACCTGTGTGAACAACTCAACCAGGAGAGTAAAACTTGGCAACAGATAAGCCTTTCTGATGAAGCGTTACTCCTCGTTAGTGGGACAGTGTTTAACCAATCTACAGCTAACTTGACGTAAAGCTCTTCCTTAAAGAAATCCATCATCTTTGATGGAAGTCTGTAAGGAAAATTAGTGGAGATATAAATGGGTGAAAAGGCTGCAAAACTGAGAACAGGTGAAATTTCTCTCTGCAGGTTAAATCACCCACTTATACGCTCCAGTTTTAGGAAGCCGACTCGGGTATGGTGGGAAGATGAGCGATCTTGTAATAGCTGTGCTTCAGCTGACGAGCAGTTCTTCCTGAGATCGTCCAGCGGAGCCTCTGGCTGTTGGGTCTGGAGCACTTGGTGGTGGCGTACTCAGACAGGCATTTCCCCACCAATTCTCTCACACACACCAGGTCACCATCTTTTACCTACGCAAGGCAGAGAAGTCCAAATGAAGCATCCCATGGTGCCGTTTAAATGATACCAGAGAACCTTTACAAAAACAATGGCTTTAAGCAAATAACTGTCTAGAAGACTTACACTGAGCAGCTGCTGCAGACTTCGCAGGGCCTCAGATATTTGGTTTGTGTGCTCAGGGTCATGCTGTTCCTGGGCCTCAAAACACAGCAGAGCAATGGCAAGAAGAGAGGGCTGTCGAAAACAGATACAATGACCTAAAATTAACACGTCTTCTCAGAATTTGAAAATTAAATAATTTACCGGCTTAAGGTTGCATTCGGTTAACGCAAACCTTTGCCTACGTTTGAATACAGAAGCAGACCGTCCTGAACATTAACAGCATCTGTTCAAGCTGGTGGGAGTTGTAACTTTAATCCTACTTTTAGCTGATTTCAGTTTATTTTCCCCATAGTCATTAATACTATGTCCAAATGTTTACGATTTCAGCACAAAAAGGTTAAAAGCTCTGCCTTCATTGTTCTATAAATAATGGGAACATTTTTCAAATATATATTGACGTTTTTGAAACAATACCTCTGACAAAAACTACATTATTAAAAGCACCTTTGTTTTAATAGGCTGGTTTAGGACTAAAGCCTTACAAGTTTCTTCATTTGGCCCAAAGTATTTGTTCAGGAGAAAGTGCACAGCTTTGCACTTAAAACTATTAAAATAATGGTTCTGGACCTGAGATACTGGTAAAACAATCACACCAACCATTGCTAATCCAGGGCAAAAACTATGTTAGTCAGGTGCTGAGATTTTCTGTACAAATCTTCAGACAAGACAAATTACAGGACGTTTTCACGTTACCTTGATTTTAGAGAAGACAAATGAGCAGTGACATGCTTTCAGCTGCGCCTCCAGTCGGTCAAGGCTCAGTATATTCCTGCTGTAAAAAATACACGAATGTCTTTAATGAAAAGATTACAACTGAACACGTCAGACAAAACTCAGACCGTGATGATGAATGTAGGAATTCAAAAAGGGTTTAAAATATAGCAGTACAACAACAAGGTAATAAGATTTATTTAAAAAAACATATCACCTGTCAAAAACTTCTAATAGAAACCGTCTATAATGCAACAAAGTCCATGCTCAATAATCCAGGTATACAATCCAACATTTTTCTTTAATGCACTTAGTGCAAGTTTAATAATTGTCATCTGTTAAATTTGAATCACCGTGGTTTTGTAATGCTCTTTAGGTTGACCCGAGCAGCGTATTCTTACCTCTCAGCGTTGAGCTGCTCCTGGATGCGAGCGTGAAACAGGCGGAGGAAGTGCAGAGCTGTAGGAGCCTTCACCTTCCAGTGGAGCTTCTCCATGATGATCTTTTCCATCCTGATCATGTCAGACACCGTAAAGCGATTCTGACTAATGCGGATTAGGTCATTGGCCAGAGGCACGTTCTTCTCCTCCTCAGAAGACTTCACAGCAATGTAGAAGCAGCACAAGCCTACACAGGACAGGTGCTTCGGTTGTATCTGTAACACAAAGTGGGCAACTATGAACACAAAAATAATTAACGCTTTATGCGACAGACCTGGAGTATTTACAAACCTTCATCACAGAAAGGAAGCGATCGAGCAAGCTGATGGCCAGCGAGAAGGTCTCCGAGCAGAAGCCAAAGAACCTGGATAGGGAGAGCAGGTCTTTCACCTCCAGCTCTCTCAGCCGGGTGGTCATCCTGAGGCCGTTGTCCTGGGCACTGTCAATCAGCCTCAGTCCGCTGAGCTTTGGTTGGTATCTGCCTTCCAGGTCCATCAAGGTCTTCAGCTGAGCTGCGAAGGGCTGTACCACGGGTGTCACTGTGTCAGGCATCTGTTTAGATAAAGGGAAAAAACCTGAAAGTTACAACAACAACAAAAAAGACAACCACCCTTCTTATCAGATTAATTAGGTATGGTTCAGAACAGTAGAGAGCTCCACGTTTGTAGGTCAACCAAGCTTGCCTCACGTCACTGAACAGGAGGTAAAACAACACATTTACGCAAGAATTTGTCTCACAAGGTTCCCAAGCATTCTTTAGAACAACATATCGTCTCTGCGTCACCACAGCTTAATTTAAGCTGTTTCTTCCTGTAGTTTCAGTAACTTGTTGACAGTGTGGCAGGAGCGGCCTCTTTGGGGCAGCTCCTGCGTCATGTCGGGACATGTCCCTGCCTCACGCGCTAATGGAGTCCTGACGATGACAACAAACTGAGACCACACAGTCCAAACTACACCAACTGAGGCCAAAGTTATGATAAACACCGCTGACAGCCCTTTCGAGGTTGTTACAATATATTTGAAGGTTAATGTTAAAACTAATGTGCAGAAACGACTGAGTTAGCTGCTATCACGGTTGAAGCTAGCTCAAAATCAATCCGTTTAGTGCGGCGTTATATTACTGTCACGCAACAAAACCTTAGCACTTTTTGACTGTAAACTAGCAAACAGTTATAGTTTTATATTGGAGAAACTTACCTTTAATGGTTTCGCTGATTTTATTATTTAAGAAAAATAGTAGCTTACAAAAAAAAATCAGCACGCACTTTCGAAAAGCAAGCGTAAAGTGGTTTAAAACACAAAAAGTGAAAGTATGAGCTTCGCATAAAATACAGTTTTAAGCATAGGTCGTTTTCTGCCTATGCACACCCCCCTACCCTTGGCTAAAGGCGACGGGGAAAAGGACAGTTCAGGTAAATAAGGAGGAATAAAACGACAGCATGTCACAACGGCCGAGCTTTCATTGGCTGCTGACCAACATCAGTTGAAATTACATTGGACAAGTTACCAGTCAGTCACCAATAGACTCCGCCCTCTTTGAGCTCCACAGCCAATCACTATTGAGCACCAAGAAAGGCGTGCTAGCTAGTTTGCCCTTATTAGGTAGGGTATGAAGATGAACATTTGCAAGTATTAAATTACCTTAACCTTGAAAAATATTACAAATACTACAATTAATAGGCTATATAATAATATTAAAGTTGCACTTTAGAGTTTATTCTACCCTGTGTACATAATCTCGTTCCACCACATGTACCACATGGTGCAATAAAGAAACTGAATCTGACTCTGATTCACATGCCAACTATTCTAAGATACCCAATTAAAAAGAAACCTAAATAATATTTTAAACTTTAATGTGAAATGAAACGGTAAATTCAAACATTTAGGAAAAACTAAACAGAAAACTGGATTAATGTTTTTATATTTTCAGTATTGGCTCACAATCCCAATTTGTGTCTAAATTTAGCGCTACTGGCAGATTTCCAGAAACTGAACATGCAAAGCTTGTATCTTACAATAACCACTTTTTGTTTTTCTGTCAAAAAAAAGACACATATGGGGAGAACAATACACAGTTTTCAACAAAGTGCTTCTTTATTACATCAGAGTTCATAATCTGCATGCAGGCCTACACTGACCCACAACAGAGATTTACTGACATCAAGAGTTTTAATCCTGAATTTAAACCCATCCAGGCTTTTTTTTAAACAACAGATTATATAGTTTTTATCATTTAAACTGTTAAATACTTACAGCTCTACATTTCAAAAGTAATACAAGGCTATAACTATTAGAATGACAGTATATAGGTCTTAATATAATTTAAGATAGTATTTGAACTATGATTGATTTAAAGTGCTTTTAAATCATAACGTGACAACAAAAAGTCCATCTTTTAACAGCACATGAGTACATCAGTACATGAGGTTACACAGTATAATTCACAGTGTTTTTGATTAGTCAGTTTACAAGCATGACATAGCAAATGTACGTTTAGTACAAACGTGTTTTGGCAAAGGAGAGTTTTTAACACTTGCAGGAATGAAGTTTAGGAGTCATGCAAAGACCAAACGCAGTTTAAAAGATTAAAGAGCAATGTTTGGCTAACACGGAAGACCTGTCTGACTCACCTTGAAGAACAGTTTCACCTTATAAAAATCTTCATCTATCATTGTAAAAATACAACACCTGATTGTTAGTTTGATGGATTCATGCAGTTGAGTCTTCTAATTCAAATTCCTTCCTGAGGTTAAGGAGCACGCAGAGGGAAGACTAAAGAAGCTTTGAAAGGAAAGAAAAAACTGGTTATTCATTTGAAACAATCAGATTAGTGCAATCTTAAAAACACACATGAAAAGGTAGTATTTAGAAGTAAATGTCAGTAAAACCTGTTTGTTACAGTTCTGTTTACTGCAACTTAAGGAGGGAAATAAAATAAAAAATCTGAGACTCTGAATGAAACGATCCAGTTTTACTGACGTTCTGTTCGAGCCGTTAACTTTGTGCCAGACATGTTGCAGTGACGATAACAGATGTTTTTGCTTTGAGTCTTTTATAAAAGTGAATGTGATGTAAATTCAAAATACTGACGGAGATGAAAAGTGATGAACTGATGCCCTATTCATTATTTAATTAAATGATTTTTTGTTTGTTTTAATAAGAGGAAATATATTTTAAAATCAGTCTCCATGTACATAAATATTTAATTGAGCTCTTTATAAAATATACTTTCCCCCCCACAATTAGAAAATATCAGTTATATGAAAATGGTCAGGTTGTATCTCATTCTAGCCTACGCCAAGTATTAACATTGCAGACAAATTAGGCATATTAGGGAAAGCTACAGTTTTATTGCACAGACAATAAAATTGCGTTTTGCAGCCATCATATCAGTGTGGTTAACATGTAGTTAACAAGGAATTCTAAACAAACTATCTGTTTCCATTTCTTCAGACATTCCTGGTTTTCTTGGATGTGTTGATCGCCAAGTCAACTATAACAAGAAAAAGTTCCAAAATGGATTACATAATAATATAAATTATAAATTGTCTGTCTATCTATCTATCTATCTATCTATCTATATCTATATCTATATATATCTATATCTATCTATCTATCTATCTATCTATCTATCTCTATATATATATATATAT